ATTGATAGAGTATAGTTGCAGTGGTTGTTGTTGACACAGTTGTAGTAGTTGCTGTGTTTGTTGTTGTAACAGAAGTTGTCGTTGTATTGTTTGATGTTGTTGAAACAGAAGTTGTAGTTGCAGTATTTTTTGTTGTTGTTGAAACTGAAGAAGTGATTGCAGTGTTTAATGTTGTTGATACAGATGTTGTAGTTGCAGTGTTTGTTGTTGTTGAAATAGAAGTTGTCGTTGTCGTTGCTGTGTTTGTTGTTGTTGACACAGAAGTAGTAGTTGCAGAGTTTGTTGTTGTTGATGAAGAAATAGTAGTTGCTGTGTTTGTTGTTGTTGAAACAGATGTAGTTGTTGTTGATACAGAATTTTTAGTTGCAGTATTTGTTATTGTGGACACTGTAGTTATAGTTACTTTGTTCGTTTTTGTTGAGATATAGTTAGTAGTTGCTGTATTTGTTTTTGTTGTCACCAATGTTGTAGTTGCTCTGTTCGTTGTTGTTGTTACAGAAGTTGTAGTTGTTTCCGAATTTGTTGTTGAAGTTGACTCCAAAGTAATATTTTTTGCATTTTTTGTTTGTGACACAAAACTTGTAATTGCTGTGTTCTTATTTGTTGACACAGACGTATTTATTGTTTCAAAATTTGTTGTTGAAACAAAAGCAGTATTTTTTTCTGAATTTATTGTTGTTAATACAAAAGTAGTAGTTGTTGTGTTCATCGTGGTAGCAACAGTTGCAGGACTTGCTGTTGAACTGGCATAAACTGAAATTATTTTTTATGCTAATAATCAATTTGGTTTCCTTGAATATTTTGAATGCAAGACGTTGGATTTTTTTATATTTTTATTCACATCAATAAATTTTAAAAATAAAATTATTCAGTTTATTAAATATTGAAAAAAGTCATTTCAATTAATTGCATATCCCAAAAATATATTACTAGAATATATATTTTTACATCGTACCAGAAAATTTTTTGTTTTGAAAAATAGAAGTCGCGCGAATGTCCCACAACAACTAAAAGAAAACTTTAATTTCAACGTGGTAGATATACTTTGTAATATAATGTTGTGCAATGGCGGTTTTGTTTCAAACGAAATCAAATCGGCTCAATTTATTATTAATCTAAAATCTGTTTTCGTTTTATTTACTTAATTTCTTTCTTCATTTATGTCTATTTGTTTATTTGTTATTGAATTAATTTGCTTTTCATTTATCAGATCTGGCAAACACGCTACTGCTTATAATTCATTCCTCACTTTGTTGCGATGATACGATTTCACTCAACAAATTTGGGCAGGTTGAACTACATGACATACAGATACAAAAACCACCAGGTATATAGTTCTGAAAATTAGGTCATCTCACATTAGCAGCATGACTTGTTTTGACTTCTCTGCTATTTATTCTAAAACAAAAACGACAATATGCAAACAAGAAGCATGTCATTGGGTTGTATATAAATTCAATACCAAGGTTAACTCACAGATACCTGTCCAAGGGAAATTGGATCCATTTTGAAAAACCAATGATAATGTCCAATTTGTATTTGTTCCGATTGTTTTAGCTGAGGTTGCTACGGTTGTTGCAGTTGTGTTCGTAGTTACTTTGTTATTATCTACCGATGGTGACGTATCTGGTGGTTCTAGAGTGGTCAAGTTGTTGTTGTTGATACCTGGTAAATAATTTTTTGGTAAAAATATTTATTAAAAATTATTAGAAATCGTTTTTTATAATTGATCTTTTAATATCAGGCGAAATCAATACTTATACTTATTGTTATTGTTGTTATTGTTGTTGATACCTGGTAAATAATTTTTTGGTAAAAATATTTATTAAAAATTATTAGAAATCGTTTTTTATAATCGATCTTTTAATATCAGGCGAAATCAATACTTATTGTTATACTAACACAACTATAATATTTATGTTAGTAACTAATTAGTTATGTTAAGATAGTTTTTATCACGTTATTGGTATAAATAACGTAATCAACCATTTTAGGTTTGCGATGTCTATTGTTTAGTCGATTAAAATTTTTGCTCATTTTTCTTCAATAAAACAATAAATAATTTTTTCTGACAAAGTTTTTAAAATTTGCGAAAGATTTTGTTGCTGTGTTGCAGTTCGTTTTACAATTTATTATGAATTACAAATTTTCATCATCGTCGTCATAGTACTTGATTTTAATTACAAATTTCAACGGTTTTCTTTCATCTACAAATCATCACTAATTTTAACTGACTACAATTCAACAAACGTCATCATAATCAAGTTTTTCAATGCTACTTCTTTAGTCCATTTCGCAATTTGCTGCTTTTGTCAAAAAATTTTCAATATGGCAACCAATTGGACTCGCGAAGAATTTCTTGTTTTTTTACCACCCAAAAATTCTCCGCATTCCTAGAATATGTTGAAAAATCATATTTCAATTGAATATTTGGAACTCGAGTTTGTCACGTTCATCAATCCACAATAACATTTGGCTCTGGGAAAAAGACCCAGCGTTAACAAACGCTTAGCCAAATTAAAATGTGGGCTTTTAAATGCAAGGTCCTCTATAAACAAGGCTGCTCTTCTTAACGACGTGGCCATCTTTCTACAAATTAAGAATCGACAGTGGGCTCAACAACATCTGTTCATTTCCCACCAACAACCAGACGATGTCCTCTATCCGTTCAGCTGCCTAAAAAATCGCACACATCTCAAAATAATGGATGTGTGGAGGAACCCGGTGGAGGTGGTAAACTATATATATATATATATATATATATATATATATAATTATTTATAAAGATCGCTGCGTTTTCGGCATTATTCAACTTGTAGTTGAGTTTCTCAATTTTTCTGACGAGACTTTTATCGTCTTGATGAAGTTTATTAAGGTTAAATAAAAAACTTTTAATATTTGACATTTTTGACAAAACATCTAGGGGATGTCCTGGATTGTACTGGAACAGCTGAAACTGCCGTTCCAGCACGCATACGTGCAGCCTGGAATATATATTTATGATATATATATATATATATATATTTATGATATATATATATATATATATATATATATAAGTAATAATATATAATATAAATGTATATATATATATATATATATATATATAGCGCTTTTGAGATTCGTTTAATTAGCGCTTCATAAATGTTTCAATAATAATATATATATATATATCATAAATATCATATCATAAATATAATTATTTATAAAGATCACTGCGTTTTCGGCTAAAACCTCATACATAAAACCTATGTGTTTTCTCATGCTAAAACCTAACATATACTGCCGATCCGTTGACGATATATTTGCTACATATGAAGAAGATGGCGTGTTTTAAAAAAACTTCATCTGACCACTTGTTAGAAAAAAAGTAAGCGAATTTGTAAAAAAGCGAGTGAATAATTTTTGGATCGAAAGAGTTGTAACATAAATCAGCAAATAAATTACTAAGAAAACAAATTAATGAATGGAACAAAAACACGAATAAAAAGCACTTTCTTTGTTCAAACAAACAAAACAAAAACAAAGCGTACGAAAGAAAGAGATCGTACAAACGAACGAACGATCAAACAAACAAACTTCTCTGCACGGACAGAATCATGACGACAGGTCCGCTGAATCCGAGACAGAAACAAAAAAAAACGAATGTCATGAAACGTGTGTGCAGTCGCTTTCTGCGGTACCACATCGTCCTCACTACAACCCGGTGGTTCGCCATGACGGTTTCTTTGTACTGTTTTGTTGTAAGTTTTGTTGCTGTTGATGTTGTTGTAAGTTTGATAAGAAATTTTTTTTAATAATATTAAAACCGATCCACGCTAACTGTTGAGGTCGATCAAAAACTGAAGAAACCCTAATGAAAAAAAATATGAAAACAACCCTTCAAAATCTGGAAATATAAAAGTTAACTATTGTACAAATGTAAGTGAATATAAAAGTTACACACACATATATACAAACACAAACACACATACGACGCATATATGTATAATATTTATATGTAAGTCAAACAAAAGTTGATTAAAGTGTTTAAATTGTCGAAAGAAATGAAATGAATGAAGAATTGTCTAGAAAACAGTATTTGATGATTGTGGACTCGCGAGTCTTGTTCCTCATCAAGGTATTCTATCCAACGGTGCTCGAAATCTGCGCAACAACAAATATTAAAAAATATATGAAATGTTTTATTCAATAAACGTTTTAATTAATTAATTAATTAATTAATAGTCATAAGTATCCACACACAACATTGTTGCACAACTTCGAAAGTCTTCCATTTTCGAAATGGTTTGCCGAGCTATAACGATCTTATATTTAATATCATTTCAACACATATATTGACAATTATCATCATAATGAATATTTGTGTGTGTTTAAATTATGTTATGTATAGTATGTTTTATATTTACCTATATATATATATATATATATATATATATATTACATATATATAAATAAACATATTATATATATATATATATATATATATAAATGGGGCATCGTTTTTAATAAAACAAGTTTATTCGAAAACTTCGTACCGAATTATCCACGTCGTCAACCCCGAGGTTCACTTCACCATCAACATTCTTCTCCAATGGAGGTTATAGGTAATAAACTTAATAAATTAATAGATTAGCAGAAGTTAATATCACAAGAATAATATGACAATCTACTTCAATCAATATTCCAAGATCCTAACATTAACTACGGCACTCCCATTATCCTCCTTCAATCAACAAAATGGGGTATCGGAAACCCGAAAACCTCGTACATAGTTATATATATATATATATATATATATATATATATATATATATATATATATATATATATATATATAATAGTTTGTGTTCTTGATATGGGTAAGCCAAGATATTTTAATTGTCATGGGAGAGCAAAGAATAAAGTATCACGAACCAAGCACTGTCTGACGTTTTTTGTTTTTTGCGTTCTCTCACAGTTGAATTGTTTTTATTTATTTATTTGTCTGTTTATTGATTTTTTTTTGTTTTTTCATAGTTTTTTCTAAATTATTTGTATTCAGTCATCAACCGTTTGTATTTACATTCATTCATCTGTTCGTCTATTCACTTACGTACCTACATAGTATCTTGTACATTTTTAGTTTGAACAAAACAAAATTAAATCAGATATCAATAAATGTTTGTTCGTTCGTTCGTTCGTTTTTTGTTTGTCCATCAACATCATTTTTTATTCATCTTTTTCATTTGCCCATTTATCAGCATCATTGAACGTTCGCTTGGTTTCACTTCACTCTCACAATTAAATATTTATTAATTCATTTCACTTTTGGATCTTTTATTCATTTTTTGATTTAATCACTCAACCAAAAGTACAGTCGTTTACATTTATTTTTTGTGTCCAATCATATCGCACTGATTAACCCAACTTTTCTTTCTTATAAAACCATCGCACCTTAAACGGTTCATTACATCAAACATTATTCAACGAATGGGACAGCCATGCCATGCCATATAAAGATATAAACAACGACACAAACAAATAAACAAACAAACATCAACAATAAACTAACTGACAAACAAACAACACAATAGAAGACAACCAACAAAACAAACAAACAACCAACGAAAAAACAACGATCAAACAGCAAGAATCAATCAAGCATCGACAACAAACTAACTGACAAAAACAAATAACACAAACAAACTTCCAATTAACAAACAAATAAAAAGTAAACAACATGCAAACAAATAAACAAACAAACATCAACAGCAAACTAACAAACCAACGACAAACAATCTACCGACAAACAACCAACCAGCAAACAAACAACAAACAAGGGAACGACATCATGAGATTTTCAAATGAATAAAACAATGAGCGAACAAGTCTGCATGTATTTTGCACGGCACATTCTTCTAATTTTATTTCTCTCTTGTTTTATTATCTCTGTTATTATTAATACACTATTATTAGTAATTACTATTATTATTTTATTATTATTATTTATTAGAATTTTTTTTTATTGAAGTTTAACCATTTAAGAGACGAACAAAACGTTTAACGGAACGTTTTAATATTTATAATAACGCATATTCACGTTTGTGTGCGTGTGCGTGAGTGTTTATGTATGTGTTTGTTGTCAGTGCTGTTTGTGCGTTTTTGTCTGTGCGTAAGTTTATTAATAATCCTTCTATTATTTTATCTTATTCTAAAACTCTTGAAGTTTCTCACAAGTTTTGTAGTCTAGGCTTTATCTTTATTCCAACACGTCTCTTACTTTTCAGATTAATAGTGTTGCTAAAAGTTCTTACTTTCATCTAGGTAGAAAAAAAAATCTTTTATCTTTTCTTGACGACCCTACTCTTTTTCTTCTTGTTACTCTTTTAGTTTTATCCAAACTTATTCAGAACATAAAAAGAGAGAACAAAAGCTTTTACAGCCACATGAAAACACAAGCAAAAAAAACGATAGTTGGACCGCTAAAGAACGACAAAGGTGATATTGTCACAAATGACATAAAAACTGCGGATATACTTAATAAATACTTTGGATCTGTACTGGAAGAAGAAAACACAAAACGCATCCCAGACCCGATAATACTGTTGAAGGAAAACAAGAACAGATACTCAGTGTGGGTAGTGCTGAGGATATAGTGGTAAAGATGCTAGAATAGACGAACTACATCCCACATTTTTAAAATAAGTAAAAAATGAAATTAGAGCAACACTTACTAAAATATTTATAGAATTAATCCAAATAGGTGAAATACCAAGAGACTGGAGAGATGCCATTGTCACGCCTATATTCAAGAAAGGGAGCAGGTGCGATACCAGTAACTAAAGACCAGCCAGCTTAACATGTATATTATGCAAAGTATTAGAAAAATATTAAAAAACAACTTAGTTAATTATCTGACGAAATACAAAATGTTATTATTATTATTATGAAAAGTATTCCCATTGGAGAATAATAAAGTGTTTAGATTTATTAAAACAAATTAATTCAAATTTAGAAGGTTTAAGTTTAAAACACATAGAGTCAGACCAACCGATAATTGAAGAAAGACATAGGGATAGATTATGAAGAACACTATTGAGATTAGCGGGAGGAAAAGAAGAATAAATATAGGAATCATCAGCATATAGTTGACTTGTGAAAGAAAAGTTATTAATAATACGAGATAGTTCAAAGGTATAGAGTATAAATAGAAGAGGGCCAAGGATAAAACCATGAAGTACCCCGAAAGTAAGAGTAGAGGAGTTAGAAGTAGAATTATTGAGAACAACAGAAGAAAAACGATTACAGAGATAAGAAAAAATCCAAGATAGCCAAGAATCTGTAAATACTAAAAGAAAGATGTAGCAGCCTCAAAAAATAGTATGATCAACAGTATCAAAACCGGAGGAAAAATCAAGAGCAAGAAGAAGTGTAAGATTACTATTCTCACTATTAGAAAGATACCATTGTGTATTTTGAGTAAAGAAGTTACACTACTGTGAGCAGGTCTGAAACCAGATTGAGGTACAGGTAGCAAAGAGTTAGAGTTTAAATAAGATGACAATTGATTGTAAACTACTTATTTTCTATAATGCTGAAATGACGTGAATTTTGTTGAACGAGTGGTCACCTCACGGCTGCTGAATGACGTGTTGTTTGTTGAACGTGAGGCCACTTCACGGTTGCTGAAATGACGTAGAGTTTGTTGAACGAGTTGTTGTGATTATCAACGTAGAATAGACTGCTCACCACCAGCGTACCGGTTTTTACCAACCGCACCAACTACCAGCGCAATCAACTCCCAATTATTTTCAACAGGATTCGCCTACTCTTTTTCGCCTACCAAACAGTCTCGCGCTTCTCTATATGCACCTTGCTATGGCGTTGTTTTCGACAATGGATTTTATTATCATAGCGCTTCACCTCGACCCTCAAACCTTGATACACCTCCTCCCCAACAGTTAAAAATTTCATGTGGTGGAATATTCATTCTCATACTATTGGCATTCCTCATCAGCCAACTTTTTTTCACCATCATCCTTGTAAGTATGTCTGCGATGTTTTTATTTCCAGCCCGGTATTTGATGTGTAAATGGTATTCCTACAGAGCTAGCACCCACTTCATCAATTTTGAATTCTTTGGAGCAGTTTCTGTCAAATAGGTTAGTGGTTTATGATTTGTATAAACGTGGATCGGAGACAGACAAATTCAGCTTCGAAATTTTTGTATCGCCCAAAGTGTGGCATATGCCTCCTTCTCAATGGTTGCCCACTTTCGTTGTACATCAGATAACTTTTTACATGCGATGCAAATGATCTTTCTTTTGCCATGTTATCTAGATGTACTAAACAATTGTGTGATCACTAGCATCCGCGATCAGACCAAATGTACGTGTGTTGTCGATGGTATATAAATTAGTTACGTTCCGTAATTGCTGTGTAATTTCGTCCAGCCTCATCTAATGTTCTTCCGTCTATTGGATAAAATTACCTGCTCGGCATTTGGTTAAATTGGTGATGCTGGAAAGCCGTTTGGCGAGCTGTGGTATGAAACTCTGGAAGTAATTGAAGAATCCTAAAAATTTCCTTACCTCCCTTTTCGTTGTCGGTAGTTTTGTAGTTTCGTTGGATCAATATCGATTTTTTCTGATCCCACTACATGTCTCAAAAAGGGTATCTTCTCCTCGCAAATCGACATTTTTTATATCAAATGTTAAACCCGATTTGTCCACCGCGGTAAGAAACATCTGTAGAATGTTGTATGTGCTCTTCCCAAGTCTGAAAAAAAACCGCAACATCATCAATATATGCTTTGGTAAAATTATTTACGTCCTTAGTCAGTTTATCCATCGATCGAGTAATTTCCATTTCCACTTCAGTTCAGATCGGTAAACGTTTCACCAATCTTCAAAAACGGCGACATAACTGTAGCAACGCCCGGTTTTTTCAGCATCAGTTCCGTGTAAAATAATGGAAAGTATTATTCTAAAAAGGGTAGAAGATCATTTTTTTCAGGAATAAAATAATTGTAGGACAAAACATGGTTTTGTTGAGGGCAAATCATGCGCTACAAATCTACTTGAAACTCTTGATTTTATTTCCTTTAATTTGGATAATTCTATTCCTGTGGATTAGTCCTGCTTGATTAGGCCAAGGCATTTGATACTGTTCCACACAAAAGATTATTAGCTAAATTAAAGGCATATGGAATAGATGGATTGGTGTATAAATGGATTGAATCGTTTTTTAAAAACGGAAGACAAAGAATTGTTCAAGGTGAAACCATTTCTGACTGGGCTGAAATTTTTAGTGGTGTTCCTCAGGTATAAGTTTAAAAAAATTCAATCGACATTACCGAAAATAATTGAAAGATGAAAAATTGAGATTCTTTGCATATCACTGCCTCAACCCATAAGAAAGTGTTGTATATTGGTAAATAGGCCTCCTCTAGCTTTTGACTCGAACGATAAAAAATCACCCTACAACTCCCCTCCGGAAGTAAGCTCCTTGTTTGACCGTTGAAAGTGAGCGAAGGCCGTTATATTTATTCTAGTTATATGGTCAAAACCAAAAACGCAAGGTCACAGTTTGAAATATTTTAAAGAATTAACAAGACATAGAGGCAGAGAAAATTATTTATTCAACAGAGTGGCAAATTGGAACTCATTACCAAATGAACTTGTTGAGGCACTATCAATAAACAATTTTAAAGCAGGTATTGATTGTTGGATGAAAAACATTCAATAAACGAATTGGCTGTGCTAGCATGCCTGACAGCGTGCTCTCTGGATAAACTCCAGAACAGCATTACTACTTCTAGCATTACTACTACTACTACTACTACAACAACTACTACTACTACTACTACTACAACTACTACTACTACTACAACAACTTCTAAATAATATAGCATATTTAAAAAATAACACTTTGGAAAGTATTTTAGCGCCAATTAAAATATAGAAAACAGTTTTTAAATAGAAAGAAAATACGTATTGTCAGAATTATGAAATAATACTGACTAAAAATACTTCAGTCTTTCAACGGAAAATTAAGTCACTCGATAGGCGGCTTGATGCAAAATTATTCACTCGATAGGGGGCATGATGCAAGTTAATTTAATCGATAGGGGGCTAGACGATTTTTTATTTGTTTTGCAATTTAGATGACGTCACAATTTATTACAAATTATTTTAAAATTTAATTAGTAGTTTTTTTTTAATTAATTGGACATACCTTGGAAATTTTTATGTTTAAAAACACCCGAAACAAAATCTAATTTTGCTTTGATATAGAGTTTTTTTTATCTTATATTAGAAGAAGGGCAGAGAGTCCGCACTGGGTTGACTAGGCAGCTTCGAATAATCAGTGCCTATTCTGGTCTCTGGTTTTCGGAAACGTCTTAAGTTCTCAAAAGTGGATTTGGTATGAGACTCTATGCTCATTGGCATTGGAGACTCTTGTTGTTTTGTGTTGGTTGTGCGGAAGCCGACCAAACTTGACGGCCCAGTGAAAACAGGCCAGGGTAGTGCGAAAGCCGACCGACTGACTGACAGGCCCAGTGAAAACAGGCCTTGGATTCTGTGAAAACGAATCCGCCTCCTTCTTTTGTTTTTGTTGTCCTATTTGTGGACGCAGCTTGGAATTTTCATAGACTCCTATTTTTGTAATCTTTCTTCATTCATTTCATTTATCTCCCGGAGTTGTATCAACACCACCATCGGTCACACACGTCGAGGTTGTACGATTGAACGGCAAGAAACATATCCCAAGTCGAAGACCCAACAAGAAGAAGTTCTAATTCCTGTATTCCAGTTTGTTCATTGACATTATTTTTTTTACATTATTCTAGAGTTCATTTAGTTCAATTCCTTTTCATTTACTTCCGTCGATTAATAAAATTGTTATCGAATATTTTTACGCGGGACTGGTCGAACTCACGATAAAAACATACACAAAATTATTGTCGGACCATAAATAAAATTCCCTGAGAAAGATAGAGGAAGAGATTACTTCACCATCAGTTGTACAATTTTTCGACAGTATCTTACCAAAATATTTATTCAACTAGCGATTGAATAAAAATTTGTTAAAATGTAGTTTAGTTGGTAGTCAAAGCAGAAACCGAGTTATCTGCTGAACTGTATTACGCTTTTAAATAGAATAACTTTATTATATATTTATATTTTTCTACATATAATGAAAAACACTGAACAAACTTAAGCGTTTGGAGTTTTATTTAGTTTTTTGCACATTAACAAATTGTTTAAAGTCATGAATAAAGAACATTAATGTTTTTTATTCATGTCATCGAAAATTCAGGTACTGGACTTTAAACAATTTGTTAATGTGCAAAAACCTAAATATATATATTTATAAGATCTGTGCAATTGCTGAGAAAATATTTAAGAAAATGGGAGTAGAGAGAAGAATTCATCTGTAAGTCTAAAATAGAAATGTTCACGGATGATACAATGATATATGATGAGTTGATCCAATAAAACGTAAATGCACGGAACCAACTGCTCAACCTCCATGAGACGCAGAAGATTCAAATAGTTTTTTGTTGATGGTGTTGTTGTTGTTGTTGTTGTTGTGGTTGACAGTGTGCTCCAACTCATTGATGTATCACTCCCAAATGCCACAACTGAGAGAGAAAGCGAGCTGAAAAGTAAATATTTGTTTTCATGATGGATTGGTTGAATTAGAAGAAAGAAGTTGGTGCTGCTGATGGTAAGTGAGGTTGGTGCCCGGAAAATTCATCGTGGAAAAATTCATCGTGCGGGAAAATTCATCGTGAGGCTAATCTGAAGTTGCAGTTTTTGCAATTACACACCACATTAATGTTGTATATTATAAATACATATTATTGTTAATTTTGGCGGTGATTCGTTGTTAAAATAAAATCTTGATGGCCACGTATTTGACAATCGAGGAAGGCGTATCGAGCGGTCCTGTCAATATTAGTGCCGACCGTTTTCTGTAGACATTCTCGTAGAGGTTTCGATCGATAGCCGAGCAAGTGCAATTAGCTTGAAATTCATTCAAATTCAAGTTGAAATTTGACGAAATTCATTAAAAAGAGTTGAAATGTAAAATATTTTCAAACATTCATTAATAGATTGTTGATTGAACGACAGAACGAAGGTCTGGAATCGAACACGACACCAACAACTGTACCAATTAATCAATAAATAAATTAATTAAGCCAAATAATAAATCAATTTTGGCAATTAATTGACAAATTAGGCTAAATGATGAATAGATTTTGGCATTTTAACGATTAAACGATAGTTAGCAATTAGTATTATATTGAACGATAGGAATTGAGCCTACCGCAGCTGGTCACCCAAAATTATCAACAATAATTTAAGTAAACGAATTTGACATTGGTTATTAAATAATTAAACGGCCACACAAATATTTCCACTCCGGTTTTCAAAAACCCAAGGAACGCCACTGTTGAGGATTTTTCAATTCATCACCTTTTTTGCAATGTAATTTAAAACAATTCAAAAATGAGTTTATTTTGCAACCATTGTGAAAAAATGCGTTTATTATGCAAAAGAATGTCAAGAAAAAGACTAATCAGTGCGCCTAGAAAATAAAATTATAGGCCAATCCACAAAGATAATCCACTCTATCACGGTTATTGCAACCTTGCACTATACGCCGAATTCAATTCGAACTGCCGTGTCTCGATAAACCTTTTTGCTTGGAGGCGGTTTGGCACCAGCAACATACTGTTCTATTTTTCCTTCATTTGAAGCTTGTTCGTCTTTCAAAGATGAAATGAATTTCCATATTGTTGGATGGCTAGCTCCAATTAACTCATTAAAGGCTCTGTGCCACTCTTCGCAGGAATTGTTGGTTTTTGGCAAGCCGTTGAGAGCTGCATTGTAGCAGTTCCACAGGTCGTATGAAAAACGTGGAGATTTGCGTTGTTGACACCGATTAGGTCTTCCAATCCAAGTGTCCTCCAAATTGTCTAAAACCGGTTGAGCTTCCACTGGAAAATCCTCCTATAGTTGTTCAAAACTTTTTATTATGCCATTTGGGTGAACATTCGTATTTTGAGAGCGAATTCCGGATCATTTTTATACCTATCAAAAAAACGCATAATTAATAATAATATCAATAATAAATAATAATAAAATGCATATTGATAAATATGAAAATAATTTTCTTGCTTTTATACAAAAGAATTCAAAGTTTTGAAAAAACGTGATTTATTTGAGATGTTTGTAATTATGTTGAAGGCCGTTTGTTTGAACGTTTTGCCACAGGCATTGACCAAAATGGAAAAAGCATCCTTTCTGTTGTGATTTTGAAAATACATCGTAAAAAGCGTTAATTGCGGCTGTTTCAAAATAAGATGTAATTGAGGTTGGAGCTAAAATGGGTTGCAAATTTTTAAGCTGTTGGAATAGCCGATTGTATGTTTCTTCTGTTTTTGATGGCAATAAAACAAACACAACAGGAATGACGCGATCGTTGCAGATTCCATGAAGAGTGTACAATTGATAAAACAAGTAGGGCACAGTTTTGAAAGTTCCATCAGCGTACAAATTTTCAGAGTGTCAAAGAAGCTGCATATTTTGCTGAGTTGAAAAAATGAGAATTCGGTAAGGACCATCATTGCTATCAAACATAAAAAAATAATGAATATCAAATTACACACAATTATCATTGTGTGTAATTTAATAGTCATTATAGATGACTAAGTTCGCCAAAGAGTTTGGATTCGGTGGTGCATGATCAGCAAAACGCCTGGTATTTCGAAAAGTCTTTTTAAGTGTGGAAATATTAAAATGTATTTGGCATTTGGCCAGAGGCCACCTTTGAAAGGTCAATAAAAGAATTGGTGATAATTGGTTGAGGAACATCCTGCGTTTCTCAAACATAATTTTTTATTTGATTCATAACCAAAACAACTTTGACCCGAGCAGCATTTCCTGCGTGGTTATGTTCGCAAACTCTCTTTACGATTTCGTCATTACGAGTATGCAAACGTGCCGACATACAAGATTTTGATATAGAAAGTTTCTTCATCCGTATCTGCATGAGTGGGAAGTGGTAGGCATTGGGTTTTAAAAAAAGTGTTCACAGAGTTTGATATGATTGAAGCATTAGACGCCGTTCTGCTGCTGTGCCACTGTTGTGTAGTGTAGTGCTGTTCTGTGTTGTTAATTGTAACTGTAAATTTATTATTGTTAATGTTTTTATTATGGTTATAATAATAATATTAATTGTTGTTTTTGTTGTTATGATGAATTTAGCAAAGAACAGCAAACAAAAGTCTAGTCGGATGCTGCCCAAACAAACCAAGCAGCTCAAACTGGTAATATTTTTACCACAAACGACAACATTCTGCAACTAAAAAAGCCTAATATAATTCAACAACAGCAACAGCACCAACAACAACATCAGCCACAAAACATTTTTGAACAGCAACATCATCAACAGAAAATCTACATGCAACAACAACACCCACAACAACAACAGCAGCCACAATATTCTTATAACTGCCGGAATGATCAAATTGCGCTATATTTTTTTTATACGTTTATTGTTATCTTTGCTATATTTGTAATCTTTGGATTGTGAGAATATCTGTTATATTAACATTCAAATTAAATTTATTTATTACCATATATGCCCTAAAAATGTCACAGAAATGCAATCCATAGATATTAATTGGTGATTTTTATCTTGGTGATACTTGGTGATTATGTTCCTAGACAACTTCTTGAGAAATAAAAAAATATTTTCTGTGGAAATATTAATGATGAATAATTAATGAGAAATAATTAATGATGAATAATGAATAATTAATGAGGAATAATAAATTTGGTCTTTGGAAAAATGGTGACTAACCCACGTTAAATTGTTTCTGAATTTATTTGGATTCTGAATGATAATTCGTTGTCTTGATAGTGAAAATTTAAAAAAATTTTTAATAAATAATTTCTCACATGAAAGAAAATTTTACTTTCTGAATTAGAAATTCTAAAAATGGAAAAACCGAAATTTTTCACTCGTATGAACACCAAACAAGACAAGGTTAATGAAATAATCGATGTTTTCAAGTTTTTATTGGATAGTAACAATTTAATTGAAAAAATGGCAACTATCGTTATTCTTAAAGTTAAAAATTTAGTTGCGTGGATGGAAAGTTTTTGATCGTGTGAATAACTTTTAGAGAAATTGGTTATTTCCAACAATGAAAACACAATACATGCTCTCTCTACATTAAAAGGTTTGAATTCTTCCAAAACGCAGATATTTGAGTGATAACAGTTGAACTAAAAGTGAAATTCGATGCGAAGTCTTAAATGTGATTTATGTAGTTATTTAAACTAATTTGTTGTTTCTATTACTGCTGGTATTAAAATAAACGTTCAACTTAGTTTGCGTTTGAAGTAGTTGTGTAGTCTATCGGAAATGTTGAATGTTGAATGTGGAAACTACAACACGGTGTTGGAGATATAGAGATTTTTAAAGCTATAACATCGGTGTTGGTAGATTTGATGGGAAACTATAGGCCAATTTCTTTACTTTCCCCTTTTTCAAAAGTTCTAAAAAAGCAGTTTTCAACAGATTAACTGCGTTTATTTCCAGTTGTAATATTCTAAGTAACCATCAGAGTATGGGTTTAGAAAGCAAAACTCAACTGATCCAGCCATTCTTAAATTTGCCCAACTGGTTTTGAAAGGTCTTGAAAGTAAGGAAATGACTTATCTAAAGTTTTTGACCCAATCAACCATGAACTGCTTTTAAATAAATTGTTTCAATATGACTGTCGTGGACAAGTACTGGATTGGTTCTCTACTTACCTCTCTGATAGATCACAATATGCACACGTGAACGGTTCTAGCTCCTCCATTTTATCAGTAAATGGTGGAGTTCCTCAAGGTTCCATTCTTGAACCGCTTCTTTTTTCTTATTCATTAATGATTTGCCAAAATTTTCATAAACTGTCAACCTCTTCTTTGCTGATGATACAAATTTATAATACTTATCGAAACTTGAATGAAGACAATGTTTTGATAAAATCAGAGATCTCAAAATTTGATGAATGGTTTAAGATGAATCGCCTGGCAATTAATGTTGAAAAATGTGCTGACACGATTTTTGGACCAACAATTCTAACAAAAGGGCCTCATGATTTGAAACTTAATTTGATCAATCTTGATATTTTGCGTGCTGATTTAATTAAATTTGTAGGAATTTAACTACAAAGTAATTTGTGATGGTCATTCCATATTGTCTTTGTTCTCAAAAAAATTAATCAATTTCTGGGTATTTTGTATAAATTAAAACATAATTTAAACTATTCAACATTAAAATCATTGTATTTTTGTTTTTTCACCTCTACTTATGTTATTTGCGTCTTTATTTGGGGCACTAGTTTCAAGTATTTAATTATTCAGATATTAGTATGTCAAAAAAATGTGTAAGAATATTGTATTTGTTAAACTACAATTCTCATGCTCAACATTTAGTTTCTACAGCTGGTAGACTTACTATTAATCACTGTATGTTTATTTTGCTGTTATTTTTGTATATAAATACCTTAACAACTTGTTGCCATCATTTTTAATAATTGTTTATATTTAAAAAGCAATATAAAAAGCAAAATTACAAGACCAGCAAACTTGTTCTATATCCACAATGCAAGACTAAAATTGACTAAAGTGAGCCTGTTTTATTCTGCTCCAAAAATTTGGGATGATATTATTCCAGCTGACATTAAAAACATTAAAGGTTTGCTACCTTTTGAAAAGCGATTGAAAGTGTTCATCCTTAATAACAAGCCTCCGTGAGGGTTGCAATTTATAATTAATTAACTTCATACATTGTACTTAATTTTAAACAAGTTTTTGTATGTATTCATTATTAATGGATTGGTTAATGTAGTAAGATTGGTAGTGTTGGTTCGCTGATTGGTTGCCGTATACTTAATGTATGCGAGGTTTTCTGTGCGTGGATTCTTAGTATGACTAAGTGGTTGCTAGTTGGGCTAAGAGTGGCGAGTTTCTGGTTTATGTGGTTGAATTGATAATATTGGGTCGATGAATATTTGCTATATACTTAATGTTATGTTTTTCTTGTGAATGTGTTTAAATAATGATGATTGAATCGTTGCTGGTAGTGGTATCGTGTGGGGTGTGTTTCTGGTTTGAGTGATTTAATTGACTTACGTTGGATCATTGAAATATTAAAATTTTTTCATAGTGCGTTTAAGTTCTTGTTACATGAATTTATGTACTAATCAACTGTATCTTTTATTTTGCTTAATATTTAATATTTACTTGTATTTTGGTTTAGTTCTTAGTGATAATGTCATTCTTGAACAAATTTTATAACTTTCTAGTAATTTTAGTATTGTATTTTTCTCCCCAACGTGTTAATAACATTTTCGTACAAACTTAGATACATATTTGTAATTTTAAGACTAGTATTTTTTTATTCTTTTTTGTCGATTGAAAGGTGGCTGTGCTCGATGAGTCTTTTTTTTGATTCTTCACGGTTCCTGAGCCTTTTTTTTTTTCTTTGAGGCGTTTTATTGTATAAAATATTGTATTGTATTGTATAAAATTTAGTGAAAAATAAATAATGATAAATAGTGAATAACTAATGACAAATTATGAATAATTAATAAAAAATAATTTAAAATTGATAAATGCTAATTGTTAATTATTGAACGTCTTTCCCTTGAAAAACATTTTCTTTGTCACTTTGTATGAGATTTTTATAATAACAATAATAATACCAATACAGTTTTGGAATCGTTGACTAGAGAGAAAGCGAAATTCAGAATATGGACAGAAAGATCAGAACATTATTAACAAAATACGGTTTTTTACACCCAAAAGCTGATATTGACCGTTTCTATATATCCAGAAACAGTGGAGACCGTAGACTAATAGAACCAGAAAGCGCGTACAAACGTGCAGTCGTTGGTGTCAGTGAATACATCACGCAAAAATCTGATAAATATATCAAACTAGTTTTCAGCCATGAAAAGAAAAGAGAAAGTACTTCATTCTGCATAAAAGCGAACAAATGAGGGTTAAGTACATGCCATCGGAAACTAACCAAGACTTTCAACTAGTTAAGTTCAGGCTTAAAAACCCACTCAATGATGCGAAAATCAAAATCTAATCATCAAAACCATTACACGGTTAGTTCTACAACGAAACATACAAAAAACTACGTAAACAGAAAACAGACATTTTGATGGCTATACAGCTCTGGACTCAAAGTCTCCTTATAGCAGCTCAAGATCAGGCATTAAATACGCGATAACATCAAAAAACGTGTTCTTAACATGGATGTCAACAGTAAACCTAGGCTGTGTCAACAGCAGGAGGAGCATGTTAACCACATTGTGGCTGAATGGACAAAACTAGTGCAAAAGGAATATATGCATCGACACAATAGGATCTCTTGGAAGAGTCCGGAGAAAAGGCAAGAAATATGATTGTACATGTACTGTACAATTTCTATAGTGAAATCATCCTGTGAAAAATAGAAGATCTACCTGAAATATCCATTAGAGGCGTGAGTATAAAAAATGTAAGATATGCTCATGATAGAGTTCTTATAGCAGATTCATTGAAAAAACTGCAAACAATTGTTTCCAAACTGGTTTTTGAAAGTGAAAGAAAAGGCTTGCAAATTAACATCAACAAAACAAAGTGCATGGTTATCAGTAAAAGCAAAACCGCCCCAATCTGCTCCATAATCATTAATGGTAAACAGGTGAAACAAGTCAACAGCTTCAATTATCTCGGAAGTCTGATTACCTCAGATTGTAAATGTGATGTGGACATCAAACGAAGAATAGCTATGACGAAAAATGCATATTCTAAAATGAAAAACGTCCTCACCAACAGTAAAATTAGATTATCAACAAAATTAAAACTGTTAGAGTGTTACACTTTTCCTGTGCTAACTTACGGCTATGAGTCCTAGACAATTTTTAAAGAAATGGAAAAAAAGAATAACACTGCTGATAAGTGGTTTTTGAGAAAAATTAAGAAAATTAGTTGAACCTCTTATACTTCAAATGAGGATGTATTAAAACAGTCTGGTTATTGAAAAGAGGAAATTTTTACTAATAATCCGACGAGGGCAGTTAAAGTTTTTTGGTCACATCATGCGCAAGTAAAGAATGGAAAATCTAACAACTACTGGAAAGATTGCAGGGAAAAAAGATCACGGTCAACAACGATTCACATTCGTGAAGTCCTTGTTTCACTTGTTGAATATCACCACATTTCAAATATTACAAAATGTTGAAGATCGGGTTTAGTGGAGGTCGATGGTCGCCAATGTCCTGAAAGGATGAGGCACGAGAAAGAAAAAGTACGACATGGCTATAAACACCGACCGTTGTATCTGGGCTAACCGGCCAGATATCATACACCACGATTGAAGTAACAAAAAAAAGGTTCCTTATCGATGTTGCTGTCCCCGATGTCACGAATCTTGCCACAAAGGAAGTTGAAAACTAAGCAAATATAAAGACCTTGAAAACACAAAAACAGACGTGATTGCAATCGAAGTTGGTGCATTGGGAATAGTACGTCATGGGCAGCAGAAATATCTCGATGAACTGCCTTGAAAGGAAAGTGCTGCACAAGTGCAGAAGATAGCTCTACTCGGCACTGCCCACATACTTCGAAAGTTTCTAATGACCGGAAACTAAAATCCTACAATTCAGGATTCCGGTGGACTTCCGGTAGTAGTAGCAGCAGTAATGCTGTTTTGAAGATTATTCAGAGAGCATGCTGTCAGGCTTGCTAGCATAGCTGATTTGTTGATTGATTGTTGTTCACCCAACAATCAATGCCTGCTTTAAATTAAGCGTACCATCATCTATGTATTGAAAGTTTTTGATAGTTTCCTCTTCCTGGTCGCTCCGTAAGATGTCTAACAAAAAATCATCTTTTCATAAATCATTTTTTCCTAACTCTCACTTTTTAGTAATAAGCAGATATACATACACACGCATAAGTAAGCATACATACATGCATAGAAACGTACACTCACACACCTATGCATGCACAGCACACACAGCATTCAACAGTCGTAGATACGCATGTTCGTTCGAACGAACGCACCTACCGTGTTACTTGCTACTTTAAGTTTTTGCAAAGCTGGTAGATTAATTAACTTTTTGTAGAACTGAGTGATGAGAAAAGAGAGAGAGAGAGAGAAAGAGTGAGAGGGAGAAAAAGTCAAGGAAGAGAGAGAGAGCAGAGAGAGAGAGAGAGAGAGAGAGAGAGAGAGAGAGAGAGAGAGAGAGTGAGAGACTGAATGAAACAAAATTGTGGCCGCATTGTTGTTGATCGATTTTATAATTTTTTATAGTTGTTTTTATTTAGTAGTCAATAGCAAAACATTCGGAAGAATTTTTTTTTCAATAAATTCATAAATAAATTTATACTGTACATATTGCACATATGTGATGCTCATGTTTGTGTGTGGATTTTTTTGTTGATCTGCGTTTGTGGGATTGTGTTTTCAACGTTTGTAAGTTTATTTATTGTAGGTTTTTTAAAAATACGTCTTTTCAAGTGGTATGATTTTGTATGTCCGTCTGTGTACGTATGTGCGTATGATTCGTTGAATATGTAACGTGTGTGTGTTTGTGTGTTTCTGTGTGTGTTTGTGTGTTTCTGTGTGTGTTTGTGTGTTTTTTTGTGTTCACGAGTACATTAGCATATGTGAGTTTGTATGTGCGTATTTTAATTGACTTTGTTTGAACGAAGACTTATGTGGTTTTGTTGTGGGTGCTCTATGTCTGACCAGTGTTATAAATAAAACTATATAATAGACAATTATGTGAATAAATGATTATAAATATATATATATATATATATATATATATATATATATATATATATATATATATATATATATATATATGTAATACATTAATTGATACGTTTGCAATACAAATGATCTCATACCATCCACACACACTCCATCCATCCATCCATCACCACAAATCCATCTCCACTTTCGATTTCAATTATAGAGATATAAGTCACGAAATGTGATAACAGAGGTAAATATTAAGAAGTCATTTCATTTCAAGAAGTTACATTTATTTTTATTACCTATCTTTTTTATATTTTTCAGTTAATAATATTCATTCATTCTTTCGTTTATTCTTTCGCTCATTCTTCGCTCGCTCATTCATTCATTCATTCACTCACTCACTCATTCATTCATTCATTCATTCATTCATTCATTCATTTATTTGTTTTGTCATTCATTTTGATAACTTAGAAAAGAGTTTTAGTTTGTTTTATAAATAAACAGATTAATAAGAAAATTATAAAAAAATTTATTCTGTATTTAAATTAATCTATAAATAAACTAATTTAATTTATTAATTTATTTATGGAGCAGTTCTATAAATAGGAGTGTGTATTTTTATGATACATATTGCGATATGATTGAGGTGTGCTCTTGATGGTTGGGGTTGTAGTGGTGGTGACGATGTCATGGAAATAAACGATTATTACAAAAATAAATAAAATATTGGTTGTTGTCAGGTGAGGAGGTAGATAGAGATGATGATGAAGATTATGATAAAGATGATGATGAAGATGAAGATAATGATGGTGATGACGTTTATGATGATAATGATGTTACTGTTGTGGATACCCATGACGATAATAGCAGTGTTCATGATGAGAATGAAGATGATGAGGATGACGATGATGATGGGAATGATGATGATGATGGTAGTGATGGCGGTAGTGATGGTTATAATAGTGATGATGATGAGTAGAACTATAGATGGGCAGTGATGATGACGGTACTGAAGATGAGAGTGTCTACAATAAAGATAGTGATGATGATTGTCGATGATGATGATGATGATGATGCTGACGATGGTGATGAAGATGTAACAGGAAGATGGCCTGCATGAACATCATAACATACCACATTTAAACATTCCAACGCTATCATTAATTGTTTGTTTGCGAAGTTGCGTCATCATCATCATCATCATTATCATTATCGGCGCTTTGTTTATCATTCTTATTATCATCATCATCACTATTATAAGATAACCGTCATCCTCATCGTTGTCATCATCATTATCAATTTCTTTTTTTTATTTTTTTTTTGTTGGTAGTTTTATTTTTGCATCATCATCAACCATGGACTTCATCGCTTTATTTATCCTCCGGTTGGTTTCAAATTTTTTTTTTCTTTTTAATTTCCATCATCACCACCGTGCTGTCATCTTCAACGTTATTCTCTGTTGCTCTCCATTAATGCTGGTGCTCTCTTCATCTGCTGTTGTTTTTTTTCTATTTGATGTCATCGCCATCATCATCGTCTTCATCACCAACTTCATTAGCTCTGATATAATCATTACCATAAACGTCATCCTCATCATCATCCCAGACAGACTTCAAGTGTTCAGGCTGGGTTACTTGTGGATTTACATCTTCTGAGTACATCTGCACTGCGTTGGATATATATAAATAAATAAATAAATAAATAAATATATATATATATATATATATATATAATTTAATGTTTATAACATTTTAATTCTAGATTGAAATTATAGTCTTATATGCTGTAACATTATGCTGTAATATGTGTGTATTGTTGAATCTATACTTCATTATGCTTCATTTTGTTTATGCTTTGCTTAGTTTATATTTCAATTATTCTGGACATTTTATCTCTTTTAACTTGTGATTTTTTTCACTTCTGGTTTAGGATGAGCCATACAAGCTCGTAAGAGTTTCTGGTTTCTTTCAGCTTTGGCTGAATAAACTATTTTATCACATCACATCATGTATATTATATATATACATATATTATAAAATCTACGAAATTTTTAGTTTTTGAAAGTTTAAGATTGAGCTTTTCAATATATCTAATATTAATTTTTTAATTATTATCCAATTTATAATAATTATAATAATATTAATAAAAAGAACGTTGGTTCTTATGGTGAAGCGTATAGGCATATTTTAATTTTACTTATCATCCGCGCTGATATTGGAATATTGCAAGAGCTGATGATAATTAAAATCGAAATATGGCCTATACGCTTCACCGTGAACACCAACAATTTTCTTATTAATTTTAATAAAGTGGATAATAAATATAAAATTACTCTTAGAAATATTGAAAAGCTCAATCGTAAACTTTCAAAGACAATATAGGCCCCCTTTGAACTGAGAACTAACCACTAAAAATATCAGATATACTTTACTCTTATTTTAGTTCTGTATCTTTACATTTCTGCCAAAACCCAACAGTAACTTTAATGGAAATGAAATGATTGTCTTAGATGATGTTACAATCACAAAACAACAGATAGTCGATGAACTTCAAAGACTAAAGAAAGGTAAATGCCCCGGAAGCGACGGCCTCTATCCAGCATTTGTGAGAAGCACTGTTAACATTTTTCAAATCGTTAACAATGGGAAAAATACCATCATGTTGGAATAATGCAATCGTAGTGCCACTCTTCAAAAAAGGAGATGTTTGTGACCCAAGAAATTATAGACCAATTAGCCTTACAAGCATTGTAGGCAAGGTGCTTGAAAAAAATAATTAAGAAGATAACTGTGGACCACTTGGCAAAAAATAATATCATATACAAGAGCCAATATGGATTTATGGATGAGCGTTTGTACCTAACAAATTAGCTTGACTTTTTGAAAAGGTTCATGAAAATTTGGACAGTGGATATTGTGTACTTAAATTTTAAAAAGGCTTTTGATAAGGTACCGCATAAACGTTTGGCATTAAATTGGAGACAAGTGAAATCACAGGAAACACATTTAAGTGGTTTTTTGAATGGTTACAAGATAGACGGCAAAAAGTTGATACTGGTGAAAACTTTTCAAACTGGAACAATATTACAAGTGGGGTTCCTCAAGGATTTGTATTAGAACCTTTGCTATTTGTAATATACATTAATGATATTCATCTAGGAATAAAATCTAAAATTTTAAAATTTGCAGATGACACTAATTACTGTGTATAATGTATGTGCTGTTGTAGACAACGATGAATATATTGAAATTTCAGCATGCGATCTACAAAAATATGCAAATGGACTGAGGATTTGCAGATGGCAATCAACACTGCAAATGCGCAGTCATACATATGAGTACAAACAACGAGGAAAAATTATTCAAACTTGAAAACCCACTCCTAAAAGTGCCAACAGGATTCTGGGTATGATAAATAGAACAGTAAAAAGCAAAGATATGATCGTCATATTAAACCTATGTAAAGTAATGGTTCGACCTAAGTTGGAATACAGTGTTCAGCTTCGGAATCCAGATTTAAAAAGACAGACATATGCTTGAGAATATTCAAAAAGAGTGCAACGAGAATGATAAAGGAGTTTCAGATTCAAAGTTTGTGGCTTGACTTCATGAGAAAAAAAAACAAGAGGAGATTTTATTCAGGCATACAAAATCGTCACAGTGAAAGATGATTTGAAACCAATAAAATTTTTTGAGCTTAGGATGAACAGTAAAACAACGGGGCTAAAAAATATTAAAAAAAACTCAGGATCGATAAAGCAAACATTTTTCAGCTACAAAGTTGTCAACGAGTGGAACAAACTGGGAGATGAAATAATGTGCGCCGAAACAACTGATAACTTTTATGCAAACTTGGCAAAAATGGGACATTAAAAATACTCAGAGGCTTAGTCTTTTTGGATTACTATAAAAAATCTTTATTATGTTATGCTAATTATTGTTTTTTAGCCTATATATATATATATATATATATATATATATATGTGTGTGTGTGTGTGTTTGTGTGTGTGTATATATATATATATATAATATTTAAGACGACGGCTCAATCCAGCAAATAAATAAGAAAATTAGGAAATAAAAGATCCTAAATAATTGATTGATTAATTGATTGATTAATTGGTTGATTGATTAATTGATTGGCGGCTGATTAATGCTGCTCACAAAAAGTAGCGACCCTGCAGCTACCCACGTGAAAAAGGAGCTCCAAATTGGCTACCCTCTATTGCTACTTTTCTATGGGAAAAAACAAAAATTTTCAATTTTTGTTGAAATATTGATAATATTTATAATCTATAAAAGATGGAAGCAATGAAACAAAACTTTTTCTAAACGTTGATTACGCGAGAATGAACCGACTATACTTACGTTGATAGCGTTAGTATGGGAGGCCGTCTGGTCTGGTGTGTTAGTGCATGTGTTCTCTATCACAAACATAAACACTAGCGTGTGATGATGTTGTTTGTGTTGTTGATGTGGCTGTTGTTGATTTGGCTGTTACTCGTGTTGTTAATATTGTTGTTTGTGTTGATGATGTTGGTTTTGATGTTGAAGTTATTAATTTTTTGATAATGTCGGAGGCACTGAATGCTATCAAAATTGGAGATGTAAATTGGAAGAAATCGAAAGGTCATTTGTGAACATGTATTTTGTTAGATAGTATGTAGTCATGAACGTCAGTTGATGTTGTTGATTGGATGATGTCATCGTCAGAGTAGATGCGTTGATCTCATGTACGAGATAGTTGATGCTGATGTGCAGTGTTGTTGCTATTGTTGTTGGTTGCTGTTCGGTCTGAACGGACTGCTTTTTAGCTGATAAATAAATCAAAATTAAAAATGATTTCAACGTAACTTAATAATTCATAATAACTTCAACAACGTCATCTCATCTCATCCTTTCACGAACAAAACTGTGAATCACATTACAACATTAGTTTTGACAACATCAACAACAACATGCTCATAGCCAACAAACGAACAACCAGACAACACAAACTACTATAAAACCAGCCCCACAACATGCACAACAAACTTCATTTAGAAATTGTTGTTGTTGCAGTCTCGATAGGGAAAGTTGCATGAAGGTCATCTGTTTTTTCTGCTCCTCCAGCGAGCCCCTCAGCAAACTGGCCTCGTACTCCAACTCGTTCTTCGCGTTCAACAGACATCGGTCTGTGCATATGTATGTACGTTCCAAAGCGTTAAATAACAGCCACACATCTACTTAACAACAACAAAAACAACAATATTACGTGTTCAATAACTCTATAACGTCGACAAAATTACATGTTTATCTAAACAAGAAAAATATCACGTGATCATGATCAACTAAGCAACAACAACACTATTCTAAGATAGCTTAAATAACAACACATCCAAACTAAACCACCAAAAACAACAAAAACACCAACCACAACCACACCTGAAAAAAACAACCACACCAGAACAACAACAACCACACCTGTACAACAACAACCACACCAACAACACTAACAACAACAGCAACATCATCTGATACAACAACTACAACTACTACTGCAACAATGCCTTTAACTAAAACTGATACAACAACAACAACACCAACAACAAGAGCAACACCATCAGGCGATAATCTGCATTCCACTCACTTTGCTTCAGCAACTTCATCAGTACCACATCCTTCTTCTGCAGCTCCTTCTGCTGCAGCTCCAACGATGACGTCAGAGGTGACGCGGCTGGCGACGATAGTGAGGAAGAGGCGTTCAGTGACGTCATTGAGTCCTGGTGAATGGATTGGTTTGTTGGTTGGTTGGTTGGTTTGTTGGTTGGTTGTTGAGTGAGTGATTTAGATAATTAATATAAGGGTGACTACAATTATGGTGAATAAGAAAAAATAAATAAAATGTTGACTCCGTCAAAAATCGCAACCTTGCCTAACCATCAACATTAATAAATGATTAATTAATTAATTAATTAATAATAATAATGTTAACGATATGACAATAATATTATAATTAATTAATATAATGATAATGAATTATAATTGGTTGATCGCAGCGGGTACTGTGCAGGGCGATGGAGTCGGCTGAAATTTCGTTCCACTCCCACCCCTTAATTGAAAACTTCCGACACCTGGTTTCGACTTCCAGATTTTTTTCAATTTTAACTTTAAAATTTTATTCAAATACAACTACTAAATAGAAAATACTTCAAAAAACATTTGAAATCAGCTTATGTAAAGGTTTTTCATAGTTAAATTATTCTATATTGTTTGTTTTAAAATATACTAAAAAATGATAATATAATTTGATTGGATTATTGTGCATTGGTTATTTATTGCTGGTGACTGTAGAAAAAAATAGCTTTGTGTTTTTGCTGCGTCGCAAAGATGCAAATTTCAAAGTTGGCAAATTTCAAAATAGCGTCAAAGAATTGAATATTCATACATCCTACCCACTGTGCTGGCGAGTAAAAGTGATTGAATCAATATTTGAGATGATCTCATTGATGCTTCTATATCTTCCAACAGCATGAGTTTAAAAAATCAGTTTTAGAATATAACTGAATAAATGAACAAATTTCAAACTTCAAACACTTTAAACCTTTGACTCCGACGCCCTATGCAGTTAAGTCAGTACCGATAGCCCGATGTTGTCCACCACTCAATCATCATTGAATACGTTTGAAATTTTAACAATTCAATCATTTAATCGAATAAATATCGAATGTAAAGCACAGATGATGATCTACTATGGTACGTGATGATGGCGTAATGATGCAAGTGCTGAAGTACGTGATGATGTGATACTAACATTTAGTTGATGCAACTGGGAGAGACATTGATGTAACTGATCTGTCGTGTGCAATTTGTTATAATGCTTCTGTTTTTGTTGTTGTTGCTATTGTTGTTGCTATTGTTATTAATGTTGTTGTGTTTTATGAATGACTTGTAGTTAATGATGCTGTTGTTGTTGTTCTTTGCATAATATTGATGTATTTTTGTTGTTGAATTTTTGTTGTGTTTAGTTTTTTGTGTTATCGTTATTCTGTTTGAGTTGATGTTTTTTATTGCAAAAGTTTGTTGTTGTTAAAAATTTATTGTTATTTTTTTGTTTAATTTGATTCGCCGCTATAAATTATATCTAAAAAGCAATCACAACAAACATTACTGTTGCAGTAACCATCTTCTGTGTGTTTACTGGATGTAAACACGTTTGAACTACTGAACATCACTATCATCGTCATTATCATCTTCATCTCCAAAATAATCACCATCATCTTCTCATTCGTAATCATCAATATAACCGTCATAATTTTCACTGCAACCATCATCACCACCACCATCATCGTCATCATCACCAGTACCTTTAAAATCCCTGTTATCCTCATTGAGACGCACCACTTCCGACTCCAACTTCATCCTCACCATCCTCTCCAGGCACTCCCTCCTCTCCGTGTGCTCCACTAGATTCTCGTATGCTCTCCCCATTCTTTCTATCTCTTTTTCCACCTGTTTATATATATATATATATATATATATATATATATATGTAATGGAAATTGTTCTATTACATGATCACGTGGAATAAGTACTAGCACAAAGCACGTGTGCTTACCTAGGAGAGAGCGCCGTATGGTCACGTGGGTCGATTACTAGACCAAAGTACAAGCGCTTACCTAGGAGAGAGCACCGTGCATGCCTATAAATAGCCTACGCAAATAAGTTAGCTCTCTTTCCTTTATGTGGCTCTTGGGTCGGAGTTGACGTTAGTAAAATTGAGTATTGTATTGTTGCATTTTCATTAATTTTGTTTATTCGAATAATTATTTAGTTAGGTTTTAATAAAGGAGGATTAATAATATATCTGTCGTTGTGTTTAGTTAATATCGAACCCGTTACATTGGTACCAGAAGTGGGGTAGTTATTTAATTGGTGATTAATTAAATAACTAATAGGACGTTTTGACATTTATATAAAAAGATTAATTAAATACTTAGTTATAAGTTGTTACATTTGTTGTACGTTTGTTGTAAGTTGAGAATTCAGAATTATAATGGATCGATTGACGAAGATGAAACAACAAAAATTACAACGTCTGTCGAACGAACAAATAACAAGGAAGCTACTGAAGAGATCAATCGACGAAGCCAGTGTACGATTGATGAGCCGATCACAGCTGTTAGAAACGTGGGCCACAATTTTGGCGGACAGCGCTGATTCTCCATGCAGTGTTGCGGCGGAGGGCGCTGTGTCGAAAGATGCTGAAGGTGGATTGACCTTATACGAAAGGAAACAGTTAGAAATGGAGTATAGGCTTCGAGAAGCGGAGATTGGTAGACAAAGAGAAAAAGATGAGAGGGAATATAAGCTCAAAGAAGCAGAGATGGCCAGACAGCGTGAAAGAGATGAAGCAGAGATGGCCAGACAGCGTGAAAGAGATGAAGCAGAGATGGCCAGACAGCGTGAAAGAGATGAAGCAGAGATGGCCAGACAGCGTGAAAAAGATGAAGCCGAATTCAGGCTTAAGAGTCAAGAATTAGAAATTCGACGACTAGAGGTAGAAGGTATGAATAATCGAAGAGTGGCCAATGATGCTAGTGAGGATAATAACACGATAAAACTAATGCAACAGACTCGATTTTTCGCGGAGTCGTTAAAACATCTGATAGGAACGTGTCCGTTAGAGCCAAGAGATATTCCTGCATTCTTTGAACACGTAGAGAAAATTTTTCGAAACTATCACGTAGACGGAGAAATTAAAGCCAATTTGTTGATAATGAGTTTGAACGAAAAGGCCAAAACGTGGTTACATACTATTTCCGCCGACGGTCTGAAGGATTATAGCGAAATTAAAAGACTCATTCTGCAGGAGTTCAGGTTGAACCCGACAAAATTGAGAGATGAATTCTTTGCCCTGAGAAGACAGAAAAGCGAATCGTACACGAGTTTCGGGGCGAAATTATACGGCACGCTGAACCACTATTTTCAAAGCCGTAACATTACGGGATTAGAAGATGCAATGAAATTGATATGTGCAGATAGAATGAAAGAGTTGCTATCAAGACATACTCTGGAATTTATTTTGTCACAAGAGCAAGCAGCTTCCTGGATGAGTCCTGACGTGTTGGCACAAACGATCGACAAATATGAAACTGCCATGAACATGAAAGTTTCGAGCGACAATACATGTATGCCGGAGAGTATCAATCAGATACAATCATTTCGAGAAAATGAGCACCAGATGTATAGAAGTAGCAACAACAAATCAGCTTCACCCAAACAAACCTGTTTTTCTTGCGGGAAGATTGGTCATATTGCAAAGCACTGTACATGGAAAAATAGAATTACACCTACGGCCACTAAAAACGTCATGCGCTGTGAGACGGACAAAAAAACGCAGAGACCAGTTGAAATCGAATCACCAATAAGAACAAAGGAAGTTGTCATTGAAGCAAACAAATTTTATGATCGCAAGTACATCGAAGTAAATATTAACGACGAGATTGATCAAAAGGCGTTAATTGATAGTGGATCAGAAATATGCTGCATCAGTGAAGAGATCAGCTACCAGTTAAAATTACAGCCGGTAGACACTATAGCAATAAAGGGAATTGGACAACATTTCGACCATACGAAAGGTGTATGGATTCAGATCAAACCTACTTGTAAGGATAAGACACAAACAAATATTGCGCCAGTAGTGAAGATATATTGCGCAATTGTTCCCAAACTTTGTGAAGGGCTATTATTAACTCCAAGTGTCGTTGACTTGATCGAGGAGATGAAATTCTATGACGTCCCGATTCCACAAACAAACCTGTCAGAACTTGATGAATCAATGAAGCTGCAAAAGATGCAGGATTCGGCAAGTAAGAAAAACGAATTAACCTGCGATAACCCGGTGGTTGACAAAACCGAACAAGTAAATCCAGTAAATAGACTATCATAAATACAATTATTTATAAAGATCACTGCGTTTTCGGCATTATTCAACTTGTAGTTGAGTTTCTCAATTTTTTCTAACGAGACTTTTATCTTAAACTTTATCAAAATGATAAAATTCTCGTTAAAAAACTACAAGTTGAATCAACTAACTGATCGCTCACCCAATCAGCTGATCAGTTATTCAACTAATCAACTAATCAGTAACTCAACTAGCTAATCAACGATCAGTCACCCAGACAATTAGCTGATCAGTCACCAAACCAATCAGCTGATCAGTCACCCAATCACTCAGCTTATAAATCATTCAACCAATCAGTTGATCTCTCACCAAGCCAACCGACTAATCCGTCACCCAACCACCTAGGTGATTTGTCACCCAAACAATCAGCTGATCAGTCACCCATCCAATCAGCTGATCAGTCACCCAACTAATCAGCTGATCAGCCACTTAACCAGCCACTAATAGGAACCTTCTCCAGCGTGTTGATCTTCCTGTAATAATTCTCCAGCTCCCTCCTCAGCAGCTTGTTCTCATCCGACAGCCTCTCAACTATCATTGTTGCTTTGTTCGCCATGCTGACCTGGTCCAGTTCTCGCTCTCGATGCTTATTGGCTGACCCGGCAGAGTAATTTCTGAATATGTGGGTCAGGTTGTAGGTCGGTTCGTAGGTTAGATATAATTTGATTGTTGAAGTTTTTAATGTGTGTGCGTTCGAGGCCTGTGTCGTGCAAATGCTGTTTCAGACGACTTTGTGTGAAATATAACTAGAAAACTTTGAAACTCTCAAACATCACGTCAAAATTTTGCGATTTGGTTTGAGTGCCAATTGCAAAAAACACAAACTTGAATGCGTGTAGCTATATTTGTGTTTGTGTGCGTGCGTGTCTATGTATACCTGTGTGTTTGTGTTTGTGCGTGTCTGTTTATACGTGTGCGTTGGTGCGTGTGAGTGTCTGCGTATGCGCGTGTATCTGCATTGCAATGTACATGTTGCATTTAACAAACAAGTGGCGTAACAAGTGAATGAAGAATTGCTGTAACAAAAATAATGAACCTAGAAAAATTTAAGGAGGAAGTTAACAGTGGATAATTGAACGGTGGGAAAGTGCTGTCCAGAGGATAATTAATGTTGTTGTTGTTGATGATATCATTGATGTTGTTGTTGTTGATGATATCACTGATGTTGTTGTTGTTGAAATTGTACTTGCTGATGACGTTGTGAATATTTTTGCTTTTGCTTGAAACCAGTTTGTTGTGGATGTTATTGTTGCTATCTACAAAACCTCCATTGTTGTTGTTTGCGTTGTTCGCGATCAAACTATTGTTTAAAAATTTATTCTCTTCATTGTTTGACCAAATATTATTCCCACTGAACATGTTGCAGATTTTGTTTCCGTTGTTGTTATTGTTATTAACGTTGATGTTCTCGTTTTTGCCATTATTTTTGTAGTTTTTGTTGTTGTTGTTGATGTTGCTGACAATGTTGTTGTTGATGTTGTTGTAATCACTGTATGTAAACAAGTTGCTGCAACTGCTATTTCTCAGAGCCAGATCGTTGAGGTTGTCATCGTCGACGCTATACGTGGGCTCGGAGAATGCTGTTGATGCCGATTCTCTGGCTTTCATGTAAGATGGCGAGTGTTGAAGTTGTGGGTCATTCTGTTGCAGGCTTCGTTGTTGTTGTTGTTGTCTTTGTTGGTGAAAATCCAAATGGTAGTATTGCGAATGATGTTGGTAGGAGTTTTTCAGAAGTTGTTGCAAGTGCATTGGAGGTTGTTGTTGTTTTGCTGCCAGGACATTGGCGTCAAAGACAACTTGTTTTAAAAAATGATTTTCAACAATGAGGTTGTTGACGTCGTTGCTTTCGTTGTCATTGTTGAAATCATTGTTGTCGTAATTTGCTGCTGCCATGTTGCTCTTTAAAAATTTAGTTAATGCTAGTTTGGCATTATTTGCAGGAGCGCTCTTGATTCTGTTGCTGATGTTGTTGTTGTTGTTCTTTGATGAAGCCGATGATGGTCTAATTGATTCATTTAGAGCTGATGTTGTTGTTTTTTGCGTCTTTTTGTTGGGGTTGTTGTTTGGCATTAAATTGTTTGTGTTGAACTTTGCTGTTGTATTTTGCTGAATTTTGTTGTTGTTATTGTTGTTGTTTGTGTTTAGACTCTGAGGTCTTTGAACTAATTTTGCTGACGGTTGTTTGTTATAGACGCTGTTATTGTGAGTAATATTGTTGTTGTTGTTGCTGTTGTTACTGTTGTTTGAATTTCTGTTTCTCTGGCATTTGGCTGAGAGATCGTTAGAAGATTTATTTAAATTTTTATTTATAATTCTAGCATTGTTGTTATTATTATTATTATAATTATTATTATTATTATTATTGCTACTATTATTTTCATTATTGTTACTATTATTTAAATATTTTGTAGGCACGTTTTCAAGCTGATCGGCACAGCAGCTACTGCTGCTGCTACTACAACTCCTGACGACGTTTGGTGTGGTTGCAGTTAACTTCACGCAGTTGAAACGCTTTGCAAGTTTTGTTGATGTTGCTTTTTGAACTGTCAACATGTTGTTGTTCTTGACTACAGTGGCAAACGCTGGAACCAATGTTGGTGCTTTTGATGACGATGTTGTTGTGGTTTTTGTTGTGGCAGTCATACTAGATGTTGTTAATGAAACTGATGTTGCTGTTGTTGATGCTGTTGATGCTGTTGTTGTTGTTGTTGTCGTTGTTGAGGGTTTAGTGTTAAAGGGTTGTTGAATGGTTGGCAATGTTGATGCTGGCATTGATGGTATTGTTGTCGGTGCAAAACATGCAGTTGATGGTGTTGTAAATGTTGATGATGTTGCCGTTGTAAGAAATGACTGTAAAGGAGACAACGTTTTGTTTGTTGTTGATGTTGTTGTTGGCGTTGAAGTTGTTGTTTTCGGTGTTGTTATTGTAAAAGTTGATGTTCTTTTTGAAACTGATGATGTTGTTGATGATGTCGTTGAATTAATGATTGTTGGTCTGCTTTGTATGAGCGTTGATTGAGATGTTGTGGGTGTTGTTGCGGTTGTTGCTGGGTGTTTGTTGTTTTTTAAGATGGAAGATCTTGTGGAACTGGTAAGTTTTGTTAATGAAGACACTGTTGTGTTGACGATGTTGTTTGATGGTGAATTGTTTTTGTTGTTTTGTTGAGTTGTTGATTTTGAAAGTTCCTTTGTTGACGTTGTTGGCGTTGTTGATGCTTGACTGAGTTTGTTGTTGTTGTCTGTTTTTATTTGGTTTAAAAAATCCAGAACGTTGACCTTGTTAACTTTGGCGTTG